CAAGCCGTCGACCGGGCTGGGTAAGAAGAGAAAAGAAAGAGGAGAGAGGGAGGGAAAGAGAAAGAAGGGGAAAGAAAACGAAAGGAAAAAGGAAAAGAAAAAGAGAAGGGAAAAATAAAGATATCACAATACCCCGGCCTGCAACCCCTTCTCCACTTCAAAAAGTGTCCATATCGCATTTTATCTAAGCTGCCAGGTATTCTCCGCAGTGTTGTAACCACCGGGGAACTTTTCCATCTGTGGAAAATCTTTCCCCATTGAATGCCATTTTCACCCGGGAAAGTGCCTGAAAATCTCAAATTTTAAATCCAATATTTTGTTGAGGTAGACCAATTTCCTCTAAAAATTGCACATTTTAGGGAGTTTTGATCAATTCCGACGAAATTAGAAAACAACATTTTTTTAATGTTAAAGCTTCTGCTTGCTCTCCTTTGCCTTATAAATTATAACACATAGTCCCAAACTCAAGAAAGAAAATTTAAGGATAGATCGTTTATAAAAGAAGGGCCTCAATGTGTAATGATGTTGAAAGAATATGTTTGTAATAAATAAATCCATAAGGAAAATGCTTATATTCAGTTCAAAAAAAAGAGTGTGGTCATATATAACATAAGAGCATTTCTTGTTGAGGTAGGCCAATTTCCTCTAAAATTTGCACATTTTAGGGAGTTTTTATCAATTCCGACGAAATTAGAATTTAAAAAACAAAAATTTTTCGCGCGCTTCGCGCGCATTTTTTAATGTTGAAGCTTGTGCTTGCTCTTCCTTGCCTTCTAAGTTATAACACATAGTCCCAAACTCAAGAAAGAAAAATTGAGATAGATCGTTTTACCTAAAAGAAGGGCCTCAATGTGTAATGATGTTTGTAATAAATAAAGCCATAAGGAAAATGCTTATATTCAGTTTAAAAGAACGAGTGTGGCCATATATAACATAAGAGCATTTCTTGTTGAGGTAGGCCAATTTCCTCTAAAAATTGCACATTTAGGGCCTTTTGATCAATTGCGACGAAATTAGAATTAACAACACAAAACTTTTTCGTGCGCTTCGCGCGCATTTGTTAGGGTTAAGGCTTGTGCTTGCCCTCCTTTGCCTTCTAAATTATTTAAAAACATAATAGTCCCAAACTTCAGAAAGAAAATTTGAGATAGATCGTTTTACCTAAAGAAGAGACTCAATGTGTAATGATGGTGAAAGAATAGGCCTATGATTGTAATAAATAAAACCACGATGAAAATGCTTATATTTAGTTTCAAACACACGTGTGTAATAATAAAATAAGCCCTATGTCGTATTGTTTTCTGCAAGTGGGTACCTGGTAGATGCAAACAATTAATGTGCTGATTACAGCTGCAACATTATGGAATTCTCCGAAGGGACCTGAGTATGTGTTCCATAATGTGCTTGATCCAATGGCCGGGGGTTATAATGCTAAGCGCATACAAGTCGATAATTATTGTTGTTGTCGTCGTCGTCGTCATCATCGCCGCCGCCGCCGTCGTCGTCAAGCTACATAATTTTAATGATAATACACAAAGCGAAACAGAACTTTCACGATTAAGGTTAAATCAGTCACAAATTGCACACCAGCTAATTGCGTAGCCGACTCTAAAAACAAGCATGCTACAAGAGTCATTAATGATTCCAATGTCAGCGACGGATCTATATGTCTTAATTATCATTACCGCAAATAAATTACTAAAAAATATTCTAATACGGCAGCCATCCAACATTGTCCCTCTGCAAATGGAAGCCTACACTAATTTGTGATTGGTGTGCCACTAGGGGTCAGACGACGGAGCCGCAAAAACAAGGAACAGGCCTAGAATTAGTGTATGAAGAATACGGTACGGTTTCAGATAGCTTTATTTCTCTTGTGATTGTCACGTAACTCATCTTTGCTTTAGCTATTACATTCCATAATAATACACCAAATAAGAGAATACGGTAAATAAACAAATATGAACCCTAAATCCTAAATAAGTGAATCCTTTATCCTAAAATGAACCTTACATTTTAAATGCAGATCGTACAATATAAATTTTGACAAACAACTATTTTCCCATAATCGCAGATCACATCATAAGACGTCAAATCACCAGTTATATTTCAAGTAGTACAGTATACATGTCACAGAAATAATAACGATTGATAATACAAATCTTTAGAATATGACTGAAACTATGAAAACTTGGGACAGAAAACAATCATTTCCTGGCAACCTCTTAGAAATTGGGAAAGCCAGCGATGACATAGTGACCAGACCTAGCACATATTATATGCTTTTAGGCATAATTTAGACCCGTTTAGCATCTGGCATATGTGCTGGCTTAATTTTGGCAAATTTAGCATAATTTTGTCCTAATAAGTAAAAGGTTTGTAAAACTGGTCTCACAAAAAAAAATGTCATAATTGAAACCCAACAAAAATTGATACCAGGTCATTGAAAATTATTTCATTCAAAAATCTTTGCTTTTCTGACTATCTATTACTACTAGGCCTACCCATCACATTGGCCAGAGGCAGGAAAGTTTCTGAGCACGGCGGTTTCATACGCACTATATTGGGACAATAAGTGTTTTCAACGCGCCTTTCATATATTTACGCACCGAAAGCCCCCGAACGAACACACTCATGTCGCGATTGGGATCGTGCGAGCCTAGACTTGCCACAAGTCTCTTATTTTTTATTATTTTTCTCATTCTGGACAGCGCCACCAACGAGAAAGTTAACTTAGAGACGGAATAAGCGACTTGTAAAACACTGAAATCAGGCACCAGGATGCAAAAAGAATGACGTAATCTTATATTCCGTATTTGGATAAATGGGCGGACCAAAATAAACAATTTCAACCAATCAAATGTTCATATTTTTGGAGCCACGAAACTGAGTCACTCGCGTCGACTAGTTAGACC